TGGCTATTGTGGACATTGCTGCTATAAACATTGGGGTGCACGCACTCCTTCGGATCCCTACATTTGTATCTTTGGGGTAAATACCCAGTAGGATTGCAGGAGGGTTCTAATCACTCCTGGATAAGAATGGTTCCCTGGGCCTAAACTATGTGGAGCCAACAAGGTGCTTTGTGATGAATACCTGTTTTCCTTCTGGGAGTCTGGAATTTTGGTACATGTTAAGTATATAGAAATTTTGGTTCATGCTCTAAAAGAAGAGATAAAGTCCTTCAGACAGAAGGGAAATGATATAAGAAAACTTGGGATATCAGGATTGAAGAGAAAGCAAAAGAAATGATAAATACCTAGGCAAATATAATTGACAATTAAAGTATGCTTGATAGCTGAAAACAAAATGTATTAACATTATCTGATGGGGTTTACAATGTATGTAAATGTAATATGTGAGACAACATATATGGTGGAGGATAAAGAATGATGAAGTTTCTATATGCCAAATGAGGCAGTAAAATATGGATTCTAAGCAGAGAAAGAAAAGTGGGTATTTTATCATTCCTACAGCAACCACCAAAAACAATCATATAACGAGATGTCACAAGAGATAAATTAAAATGGGATATTAAATAATGTTCAAATAACCCCCAAAAAAGCACGAAAGGGGAAACAAAAATGTGGAGCAACCATCACTCTCATCCACCACTGGTGGGAATGTTAAGCTTCTAGAAAACTACCAGTTTCTAAAAAGTGAAACACAGGCTCTAGTCATTCCACTGTTAGGCATGCAGCCAAGAGAAATAAAAGCATATATCCACACAAAGACTCGTACATGAACATTCACAGCACCTTTATATGTAATTGCCCAAAACTGGAAACATTTAAATGTCCATCAACAAGTGAATGGATAAACTGTGATATAGCCACAGAATAGAACATTCCTCAGCAGTAAAAAAGAATCAAAAGGAGAAACTTCAAAATAAATTATGCTGAATGAAAAGAGCCAGACAAAGCATGATTTTATTTATATAAAATTCCGGAAGGTAAAAGTAATCTATGCTGACAGTAAGCAGAGGAGTGGTTTCCTGGAGTAAAACAGCATGAAGCAGGGAAAGAAAGAAAAGAAGCATTACAAAGAGTTAGGATGAAATTTTTGGCTTATGGATATTAGTTATTTTGATGGTGATGGTTTCAAAGCATATATGTATGTCAAAACCCATCCAACTGTTTACTCTAATTTAATGTGCATTTTATTGTATGTCAATTACACCTCAAGAAAGGTGTAAAAAAAAGTGGGGTAAGAACTGTAAACTTTGCATATCCGTGTTCATGCTTTTGCCCTTAATCATTGACAAAGAAGAACTTGGGGTAAATTAGAGTAGCCATCTTCTTTAAATAAAATAGGACTGTGTAGTTGTTTAGTTAAGAAACACATCACTTAATGAGGGGAATCTTTAAGAAGAAACACTACCTTAAACACTTTATTTCAACTTAAATATATAAGCAATCCTCACTTTGCAATTTGCAAGCTAAGCACAGAATGCAAGTTACCATGATTTAAATACCAGACCCCCCAACAATATGGTTCAAAATTCAGTTACTATGGTATATTGTGACTAATAGCACAAAGCACAAAGTTGGCTACTAGCTTTTCAGTCCACAAATCACTACAAAATTAACATGCACATCATAATTCATGACCAATTTACATGACTTCTTTCAAAGTCTGCAGGTGATTGGTTACTGTACATTTGTCATTCAATTCACACAGAGCCTGCAAAGTTCTGTACTTCTGAGATAAACCCATATGAAATTTTAGAAAAATGGAGAATTAAAAGAGGGAATTGACCAACAACATGGACGTGCACCAAAAATATGCTAAGTGATAATGCTGGAAATAAAACTCCAATGGAATGTAAATGTAGTTACAGGAGAAATAGTTGATTGTGGAAATGTTGACACTTGTGGCCATTTGAGAATCTCTAGAGAAAGACTGAGGAAATCAATGCAGGTGAGCGAACTTATCCCAATAAATGAGGAAAAGTGGTCATGATGAGAAAGCTGAAGATGTCTGGGAGGAAATGACGCTGGCAAAAACGTTCACATTAAAAAACTCTCAGAGACATATTTCACGACATTGAAATGCAAAGGACAAAATGTTGGAATCTGAGTCGGACTTAGAAAGAATGATAATTAGCCAAGATATAAAAGAGATACTCAACTTGCATTAGAAGTTATACAATGAGAAGACCAGTGCCACTCAAACTACTCTTGATTTCAGTTTTGTTTTGTTTTTTTTTTTAAGATTTTATTTATTTGACAGAGAGAGACACAGCACGAGAGGGAACACAAGCAGGGGGAGTGGAAGAGGGAGAAGCAGGGTTCCCGCTGAGCAGGGGGCCCGATGCGGGGCTCAATCCCAGGACCCCGGGATCATGACCTGAGTGGAAGGCAGACGGCCAACGACTGAGCCACCCAACGACTGTGCCCCTTAAACAAAGAAATAACTGTAGCTCTCATTGTTTCTAATGTCTTATATTACAGTGTACTAATATTTGCTTTCCTATTTTTTCATTTCTTGTATATTTAGGATGGACAGTAAAAGTTTACTGTTTGACAAAGAAATTTTAAATATCACAGAACAATGGTAATTGTTCCCTATCCACTGATTATTAAAATTACTTGCCATAGATTTTGCCTGGCACAATTAGTTTTATAGATGTATAATACTATGGAAAGCAAGGACTGTCCAAATATTTATATGCCAATTGTTTGAAGTAGAGTTAAACGTGAACAGAATGCCACATCACCTTTTCTTTTACAAACCATACCCATAACTATATGTATTCTATGATTTTCAAAAATAGGTTTTATTTGGGGAGCTGGGGTGACTTACTCAGTTGAGTGTCCGACTCTTGATTTTGAGTTGGGTCATGATCTCAGGGTCGTGAGACTGAGCTCTGCATCAAGCTCTGCACGGGGCACAGACCCTGCGTAAGATTCTTTCCCTCTCCCTCTGCCCCTCCCCTCTCTGCAAGTGTGTGTGTGTGTGTCTGTGTGTGTGTGTGCGCTCTCAATAAATAAATAAATTTAAATTAAAATATATGTTTTATTCATTAACTTGTTATTTTAGTTGAGTAAACATTTAAGCCATATGCCAAACAAACGAATATGGAATCTCAGACATGCAAAGCAATTGAATGTGGAATCTTTCTCAAGCAATGGTTGCCAATCCTGGCTATACATTATAATCACCTACGGAGCTTTAAAGAAATCCCAGTGTCCTGGACCAATTAAACCAGAATCTCTGGGGTTGGAACTTTGACATGAATACTTTTTCCAAAGTATTTTTTCCAAATCACCCTATGTGATTCTAATATTATGGCAAAGCTGAAAAAACCTGTTCTTTTAATATTTTCCTCCAGTCTTTCAGAGTATGATTTTCTCAATCATACCTCATTGAACAGCATTTTATTTTAAGTGAATTGTTTGGATTATTTCAAAAGTGGTCCATTTAGTTTTTATAAGAATAATAATTCTTTTTCATTTTGTATTTCATTAATTCTTATTAAAATCACGTAATCAGAATAATAAAACTGGCATTCTCAGGACTCGGGACAAATACTGATTTTTGATAAGCATATAAAGCAACTGGTGGGAGAGATGTGCATGGGATTACTAGATTATAGGTTTTTTAGTCCCAAGTGTTAAGTATGCTGGGGGAACCAGCATGTTTTACACAGGAAATGAAACCCATTCACAGATGGATTAATCTGGTGATCTTCTTAGGAGACATTCACTATTTCAAAACTTTACTTCTAATGAAGAGGTTTAGGTCATGGAATTTTAACAAAGAGTGATACTTAGTTGCTTCCTCAGACCGAGGACTATTTGGGATTAAAAGACTCTGGAGAAACCCAGTGTTTTAGACCCTCAGTAGCTCACATGATTTAAATTATTACTGATATGATAAGACTTCTGAACATAGTAGAGAAAAAATAATGCTGTTTTTCAAAACAGTACAAATATTTTTACTAAAATTAAAGGTCTAACAGTCAAGTTCATTCACTTTCCAATGTTTAATTTGCTGATCCTAATGGAAGAATTGCAGAACTACTTGGTGGAAACAAGATAAATTATCGGAGATTGACCAATTTTGATAAACATAAATTTTGAGTCTTCGAAGTCACTGAAATAAAAACCTCTGGATATGTCTGTATGCTTTTATTAGAGTGGATCACTGAGCTGAATAGGAATTACTGTCAACTCTGCACTGATTGGGGGTGGGGAGAGGGGGCCAACAGTAGATGCAATTTCTGAGATGCCATTTCTGAGATCAGATTATAAGGAATCTGGCTCCCATCTTGCTTGCCCTTTCTTGCTCTTTCTTGTTTTGATGGAAGCCAGCTGTCATGTTGTGATTTGAGAGGCCTATGTGAAAAATAACTGGAACTGAGGGAGACCTCTGGACCAAAGTCAGGGAAGAACTAAATCCTGTCTTGAGTGAGCTTGGAAGTGGATCCTTCCAGAATCAAGTCTTGAAATGACTATAGTCCTAGCCAATATCTTCTTCACTGCAGCCTTCTGAGAGACTTTGAGCCAGAAGACCCAGTAAGACACACAGATTCCTGACCCCTAGAACTTGTGAGATAATAAATCTTTTGTTACTTTAAGCTGCTAAGTTTTGGGGGGTACTTTGTTACCCACTCACTGATAACCGATGCTTGGGGTACTTTGTTACTCACCCACTGATAACTAATGCAGCAGGTGAGTTCTTCTTTTGGGATATTAGAAAAAAATCATGTCCATCAGTTTTCCAATAAGCAACTGTACTCTGCTTTTCTCTCCTTAAGTTTCTTTAAAAAGCCATCAGTGTTGGCGGTTCCTACTTCTTTTCCTGTCATTCTCCAACTCACCGAAATCTTACTTTTATTCCCATGATTCTCTTAAAAATGCTCTTCCCAAGGCCATCAGTGATCACCCTGTTGGTTAAATATAATGCACACTTTTAATTCTTCCTTTATTCCTCATATTTTTTGAATGCATGTCATTTCACTTAACAGAAACTCTTCTAGGCCCCTTCTCTCATGTCTCTGTTCTCACAGGGTTTAAGAAGACAATATACTAATAAGAAAATATGTATATAATACAATTTCAGCAGTAATAAATTGAATAGATAAGCAGAGTAATGGGAGGGAGAACCACTGACAGCAAAGAACGGGGCGAGGACCAGCAAATGACACATATGAGGGCTTCCTCTTCTTTCAGTTTAAGAGACACTTCATTGCCCTGGTTTTGCTGCAGTGGTTCATTTGTAGTCTCTTCTTCTGCCTAACTTTAAATGTTGATGTTTCTCAGATTTTTGGTCATTGAAATGCTTTTCTTACTCTACAAATAATGCCTGGATGATCTCATCTCCACCTCACTTCAAGTACCATCTCATGTTAAAGATATCTCAATTTCTTCTGAGCAACAAATATGTACATTCAACTTTGTGCTCCTCTCTCCAAGTGAAAATCTTCACAGGTTCTTTGAAAGCAATATGGGAAGGGGTACCTCGGTGGCTCAGTAACTGACTGAGTAAATTTAGTAATCCGACTTTGGCTCAGGTCATGATCTCAGGGTCCTGGGATCGAGCCCAGGGTAAGGCTCCCTGCTCACTGGGGAGTCTGCTTGTCCCTTTCCACCTGGCCCTCCCCCCCACCCCGCTCCTGCTCTCTCTCTCTCTCAAATGGGTAGATAAAATCTTAAGAAAAGAAAAGAAAGTAATATGGAAAAAGTCCGTATGGTCAAGTTACATTCATTCTGCTACCTACAAAGCACATATCTGCGAATCATTGTTGACTCCTCTCTTTTCATCATTCACTATATTCAACCAATTTACACAGCTGGTTGATTCTATTTCTTAAATGTTTTTAAAAATATCTTCACTCTTTTCCACCCAACCACCATTTCCCAGGCTTCCATCTGCTCTCTTCTGGACAACTGGAATAGTTACCTAACTTGATTCTCACTCTTGCTCTCAACTTCAATCCATTCTCCAAGCAGATGACAAAATCCAATAGTTGTCACCTTCTTCTCATCTTCATACCTCTTCACCAAGCACACAAGGCTCTTTCTCACCTAGCCCCAGACTACATCTCCAGCTTCATCTCTTGTCAATGGCCCCCTTGTCTGCTCTAGTAATGGTAAACTTTGTTCGATTCCTGGCCTATGCTCTACCCTTGGCAAACAGTAGGAGCTCAGTAAATATGTCGACTGCATGAATAAAGGGATCCTTGGAGAGTAGTTATTCCTTGGGGAGTGGGAAGGAAATGTAATGTGAGGAAAAAGGAATAAGATAAAAGGAAAGTATCTTCCCCAGAAGCCGCGTGCGCACCCACCAGCCTCCACGTATGTAGAAGTCATCTTATTTTCATAAGGCACAGAGCAGAAGAAATTAAAAGTCTAGTTTGGTGGCAGTGAAGTGATAACGAGGTGGGAAAGTGGGAGGCAAGACTAACACAGAAACGGGTCCAGATTTTAAACGGCCTGTTTGAGAAAAAAGTAAGGTTTTCGTTACCTCCGTGTGGACTCCGCTCTCCGGAGGCGAAGAGGGTCGTCCAAACCCGCTTGTCTCGCTAATAAAAACCCTAACATCCCGTTCCTTTACACCGGCCTGAAAACTGGATGCCGCCATGACAGAGCTCGGAGGCCGGACTGTAACAGTGGAGTCTCCCATTGGTCAAGCAAGGTGCCATCCGACCAATGGTGAGCGCCGTTACTAGAAAGGCGTGAGAATGGAGTGGGTGGGCGGGGTCCGCGGCTGGAGAGCGGGTGCGTTTCGGTCGTGGCGGATCTGGCAGCGATTCGTGCTTAAATTCCGGTGGACGGCATGGGTTGGTCTCAGGATTTGTTCCGCGTCTTATGGAGAGCGCTGTCAAAAGAAGCGAAGCAGCAAGTGGGCACAGACCAGTTTGGGAACAAATACTACTATGTCCCCGAGTACAAGAACTGGAGAGGTGAGATTACAGCGAGCGCGCAACGGTTGCGCGGTCAGTAAATAAGGGGAACGTGAGCGCGTCTCGTAAACTAACACAGCGTGCGACGGCTGTGATGTCTCCTGGGGGGTACAGCCCAGATTCGTTCACCCTGCCGCCCCTTCACTCTGAGCTGAGCACTTGGCGTCGCAGCCCGGCCTTAGTGTGCCCGCCGTCCGTGGGTTGCAGCCCCTCGGTGAGATGCCACCGGCCGCGACCCGCGCGAGCACTGCACCACACACGCAGCTCTCCTCCCCGGATCGAGAGCCTACCCACAGACGACGCCCTGGCGCCGGTCCTGGCCATTGGGCCACACAGACAGGGACAAGTCCACGGAGGTCTTTTCCCAGTGGGCCTCAAGAGGGCAGGGTAGTAGCTTTTTTCCTCCTGTGCCCTCCTGGCGACCAGGCCGGCGTTCTGTAATGGAAGAAGTGCATTTTGAGGGCCTCCGCTTTCCTCTTTCTTGGTGTTTACCTTTTCAGTAGCTCCGGCGCTGGCCACACGCGTCACTTTCGTCTAGCTGTCTAAAGTAGGGCTGTGCACACTGTGGAGAGGGGTCCTCACAAGGTTTTAAGTTACCTTTCCCACGAATTTGTACTCCAAAACCCCGTGGAGCTCACTTTAAGATCATTGCTCCAATCGTGGTGTTTCCTAGGATTCATGCAAAGTAGTGGAGTTTGGGGAATTAGGGGGCGTTCCTGTCGGTTGAAATAATCTCACGTAGCAGCCGTTATAACCTCTACGATGTCGCTCCATCATCGCGATGCAAAAGATCTCAGGCTTTGGCATCAGAAGGGCTTGGGTTAGAATTTCAGCTCTAACACCTGATAACCGAGGGAAAACTGACAAAATATTTGTCCTCCCTAGTATCAGTCTCCTCACTTGGAAGTTAGAGATGATAATAATAGCAGTTACTGAGAAGCACTAAAATCTTTCCAATATTGTGATCCATTCATTTCCGGTAGTTCTAGTCAAAGAGAATTACTCCTTCCTTCCTTAGAGCACATGTAAATTGTATTTAGTGATTTATCTCTCAAAATTGTTTTGCCCAGCCTTTTTCTGTAACAATATCTAAGACTTGTTTCCCATTTAAATGGGCTTCTAAACTCTATCAGGGTAGGGAATATGTCTTTTTTTTTTTTTAAGTCCACAAATAACCTAGCATGTTGATGGTGTTTCTTCACAAATTGCAACCAGAAGGAAAGATGTTTCTTTTCCATAAGTTGTCAGTAGCATTAAAAAATATGCAAAATGTCTATTGGCTTTTGTTATTGAAGTATAATTTACGTACAGTAATACTTATCCTTTTGGTGTATGGTTTTATGATTTTTTTACAAATGCATAGTCCCATAACTGTCACACGATCAAGATACAGAATGGTTCCATCACTACCAAAATTTCCTCTACCCCTTAGTAGTTCATTGAACCTTACCTCATTAACCAGGCGTTGGCAACCACTGATCCGTTTTAGGTCCCTACAATTTTGCCTTTTCCCAGATATCATATAAATGAAATTATGGAGGATGTAGTCTTTCAAATAAAACGTATTTCACACACCATAATGCAGTTAAGATTCATCTGTGTGTCAGTAGTTATTCCTTTTTATTGCTAAGGAGTAGTTCATTTATGGGTTTACCGAAGTTATCCATTTACTTGGGTAAATACCTAGGAGTGGATTGCTGGGTTGTGCGCACATGTATAGAACTTTATAAGGACTACCCCCCTCTTTTCCAGATTGGCTATATCATTTTGCATTCCTGCCAGCAATGTTAAGAAAATTCTGGTTACACATCCTCACCAGCACTTGGTATTGTCAGGTTTTTGTTGTTTTTATTTTATTTTACCCATTCTATTAGTTGTATAATGGTGTCTTATTGTGGTTTTGATTTTCATTTTCCTAATGACTGAAAATGTTGAGAATCTTTTTATGTGCTTATTTGCCAACCTTAGATCTTTGGTAAAGTATCTGTTCAACTCTTTTGACCATTAAAAATAATTTTGGACCGAGGCACCTGGGTGGCTCAGTCATTAAGCATCTGCCTTCAGCTCAGGTCATGATCCCAGGGTCCTGGGATTGAGCCCCGCATGGGGCTCCCTGCTCAGTGGGAAGCCTGCTTCTCCCTCTCCCACTCCCCCTACTTGTATTCCCTCTCGCTGTGTCTCTCTCTGTCAGATAAATAAATAAAATCTTAAAAAAAATAATTTTGGATCAACTTCATTGTACCATTTCAATGAAAATACAATATGATTGAAGATTTAAATTAACAAAATCATGTATTCTAAAACAACATAATTTGTTAGTCAAAGGATATGTTGGTCTTTAACGTTATTATAATACCAAATTGTTTTCCAAAGTGATTGTAAATTTATACTTCTATCAGCTTGATATTTGGAATTCATGTCCTCTTGGCTGTGAGAAAAATGAGGCTTTTGTTGATGACGTAGGAGAATCATTGTATGCTGCTGTATAACATATCTGTGTTGCTCAGTTCTTAGATAATTGAAGCCTGTGGCACAGACACATATTATGTTCTGTAAATACTGTTACACATTTCCTAAGCCTTCCACTATATATAGGGGAAATATCTTTAGTTTGTTTTAATGCAAGTTTTCCAAAAATGAGTCATCTAACTTTATTTCCTTGGTATGAAAGATGGTTTTTTAGAGGTCTCCTTGAGTTTTCTTTGAATTGAATGAATTGTTGAGCATTTAACACCACCATTGAAGGGTATTTAAGAACTCTTTAGAGGAAATGACTTTTTCTTTTAATTCAGTTAATTAGTGTGGCGCCAGTCATTAAAGAACTACTATACTTTCCACATAGGATATTATTTAATGAGAGCAAAGATACTTACGCAATTTAAAATAAATCTCTGGAGTATTGTCCAGTCAGCGGAATTTAAGTTTAGGATTGATTGTTGAAATTTTAACTTTTTTTTTGAAAAAAAAAAAAAAATTGGCATCTCAGGATGAAAAGATTGTGAAGATAGTGTTACTTGGCATTTTAAATAAAAAGATGTTAACATATTATTATTGAAAGTTTGCTTGCTCTATGGAAGATTACTTAGTAAAAGATTCCCCAAATAAACTTTGTCTAGAAATTTCCTTTGATATTGCACCCTTTTTATTTATACTATCTCTGAGTTTTTATACATCTGGTTCCATTTATCTCATGTTTCAAAATGAGTTCCCTTCCTAAGGTAAATTCTTGTATACTTAATTCTGACTAGAACGTCTTTGAACCTTGTTTTATTACTTTCATCTTTATCTTTTGCACATTTATTAAACATCTGCACCCAGTTAAAACTAGCAAGTTTATTACTGAAAGACTATTTTGAGTTGTTAATTTCTTAATGGACATTGTGAATGTCCAAATTTGGGAAGGAAGGTGAATATCGTGCATAATTTGCAAAAAACAAAGTTTGGAGTATGTGTTTGGCTCTGGATACCACACTTTAGGAGAGATGACTGAAAATCTAGAGTGTTCAGACAGGAGTAGTTATGAAGATGAAAATTTCTAGAAATTGTATCTATGACTATTAGCTGTGAATTTTGAGGAAATTTATCCTGTGAAGAGAAGATTTAGGAGCAACTTCAGATATTTGGAAGATTGTTGTATAGAAAAGGATTAGGTTCATCTATGCAGCCCTTTAAATCAGAACTTAGATCAGAGGGGAGATGTTTACCTTTTTTGAAGAAATAACTTTCAGCCTATTAGAGTCATGCTAGAAAAGGAAGAGAGTGCCTTGTGTTTAATTGTAGGTGAGAGAATTTAGGGAGATAAGGAGCTGGACACATTTGATCAGCACCTTGAATGATAGATATAATTTCAGAAAGAGTAGTTGAAGAGCATTCCCAGTCAGGGCTAGGAAGGGATAGGAAATACCACAGAAAGTAGAATGTAGTCCCATGCTGGTAGGCTTCAGTGGAGACGAGCTAGAGAAAGCTGTTTTAGTGAGGGGATCGACAGGGTCAAATACTAAATGGCCTTGAATACTGTGAGTTTGAAGTTTGCACTTTATTCTCTAGCTGGTAGGTAGCCATTGAAAAGCTTGTGATATGATCAGAGCTCTTAAAGAAATGACCCGAAGCCCTGTAGAAGGTGAGCTAGAGGGGAGAGGGAGGAGCTGAAATACTATTTGGTGGGAGCATTGCTAGATTGACTGTGATTCTGGAAAGAGATCTTAGTAGACTCAAATGATGGGAATGGAAAGAAAAGTTTTGTTTTTTTTTTTAAAGATTTTATTTATTCATTTGAGACAGAGAGAGAGCATGAGAAGGGGAAGAGGGAGAGGGAAAAGCAGACTCCCCGCCGAGCAGGGAGCCCAATGCGGGACTTGATCCCAGGACCCTGAGATCATGACCCAAGCTGAAGGCAGACGCTTAACCATCTGAGCCACCCAGGTGCCCAGAAAAGTTTTGATTTAGCAAAACTTTTGAACTTGATAATTACTTAGATTGGTGGAACGGGAAAGAAAAGATGAGAGGCCAAAGATGATTTTGTTTCAATTCTGGAGAGCCTGTGGATTATGATGTACAGATTCATGCAAATAAAGGCTTAAGAGGGACAAATGCAAATAGAGAAGTAGGCTTTAGGGTTGGTAAAAGAGTAAGTGGAATTTGTTATAATAGGACAGCTGTATAATCAGGCAATTATATACTCAGATCTGCAGTTCCAAAGATGTTAGT